TGCTTTGGAAAAATTCAATAAAACTATAGTATTATTTTCTTCTTCCAAAATCCTCTCCTTCTCTCCCCTTTCCCTCAATCCTAGAAGAACATGAAAGCTTCCTCCCTCTCAAGAAATTCTAACAAATAGTGTAGCAATTAGTGGTGTAAACGAGTTGAGTAAAGCTCAAGTCACCCTTGACTTGAGCTTGATCAATTAATCGAGTTCGAGCTCGAGCTTTATTCAACGAGTTCGAGCAAGCACTCGAGCCGGCTTGTTTATTATGAAAGAGATAAAGTTCTTATTATACAAGAAATTAATTATCATAATAAAATGATATAAAAGAATTAAAAAAATTAAAAAAAGAATAATAATAAATCATTTAATATGAGAAAGTTAAATATATTTTTAAACATTTTTTACAACTTTGTACTTAAAATTTTAAATAAATTTTATATTAATATTTTTAAAATGATCAGGCCCGCAAGCTAACGAGCTGAGTTAGGGTTTGCTCAAAGCTCATCTCAATAGTCATTTACCGAACCAAGCATAAGTCGGCTTGACTCACTTACACCCCTAATATCAATTAATAGTAATTACTTTTGTTGAAGAGAATATCTTTAGATCAAGATTTAATTAGGTGGCTTCATTACTTAAAGACCTCCAAATTTTAGCTTAATATATTATTTACTTTTAAGATCAAAGTTCTTTTGCTATTTTTAGTAGGTAAAATATTTGATTTTTAAATTCAAATGATTTAATAGATTATGATAGGTTCATTTAACGTATGCACGTTGTGAGAGCTACATTTAGGCATAATAATAACATGGTCAACTCAATAGATTAAAAAAATTCCCACATGTTGGACCCCACCTTAGTAATTTTTTTTATTATGTTTTTTTAATAGGCTGTTTAAAAGTTAATAATAGTTATTAGACAGTTAATAATTTTTTAATAACTCGCCTCTCTTTCTCCATATATAATTAACTCGATATGAATATCATTCTTATATCATCAAAAATTATCTTTATCGGGCATGGATCTCGAGGCAAAATTAAGTTGGAAACTTTCAAATTTAAATTTGGGACCATCCAAACTCCGAGTTCATAATACTTACAGGCGAAATGAACATCTCGAAAATACGAACCCAACGACACCAAGTTCAACTCAATCTGAGCAAAAATGGGTTCAAGTCGAAGAACTGAAGCACATTTGGAAGGTTCAAACCATAATTAAGATTATCAAATGAATTCCAAGCGTGTCATGCTTATAGTTGAAACGAGCGGCTCGTCAAGACAAATCCAACGAGCCCAAGATAGCTAAATTATGATATTATTAAGACATTCAAATGCTTGTTAAATGGTTCATGATTAAGGGGACCAACATCGACCGTCCATTCAAATCACTCTCAACTTATCCTTGATGTCCCTCTTATTTACTGGTAATGATGCTCTCAGAAAACTATAAATAAATCCCTCATTCTTCATTGACGGGGGCCCAAAGCAAGGACGAGAAGGAAGAGAGAGAAATTAGAGTTCTCTTGCCACCAAACTCCTCCTCGACCATCGACCGTCGTGGGACTATCGTCGGGCTTCTGCCTTGCCACCGACTGACTCTGTGTGAAACCCCTTAAGTAAAAGAAGCTAAAATCTTAAACATTGAGGCGCCTTTTGGTATAATTGTTGGAATTTCATTAAGAAACTTAGTAGTTAAGCGTGTTCTTCTTGAAGTAATTATGTGATTGGTGACCTATTGAGAAGTTACACCAACATGACAAATTTGTGAGGCTATTAGGTCAAAGTAGATAATATCTTGATAGTTAAGAGTTTGAGCTATTACATTCCCAACTACAGTCCTTTTGACCACTATCGCCCGACTATGGTTCTTCCGACCACAATTGCCCAACTATGGTCATTCCTGTCATCGCCGCTCGACTGCGGTCCTTTCGCTCTTGATCGCTTGGTTATAGTCCTTCTGACCTTCATCTTTAGTCGACTATGATCCCTCATACCACCGATGCCCGATTATGATCCTTACAACTTCCATTCTGCCCACTACGGTCCTTCTATCTATCATCATCCTATTATGGACCTGCCAACCAAATGAACCGAACAACATTACCTTGAGAACAACTATTGTCATTCTTTAACTATGTAATATGCTCTATATGATGTAAATTTTCTACATTGAGGTAATGTTTTCTCTTGAGTAAGGGCATCATTTGTAAACGAATACCAAAACCAGTGGATTCATTCAAACTGGGCAAGACCCCGTAGTTTTTTCCCATTTTCTAGGGTTTCCATAAAAAAATTCTGATAGCTTATGAGTGCTAAACCCCTTTATCTTATATATTTGTGTGTTAGATCTTCATATAAAGCTAAGATGTTAAACTCTAAATCTCTCTACCACCGTGAATTTTTCAAGACGCAACAAGTTTGAACTCATAGTGTATTCTTTGACAATCAATTAGAGAATCTTAATGGATCGCATTAAAGTGCTCACTCTGTCCAAAAGAAAATTTGTCCATAGACTTAATGCATATTTTAGTTTTGAGGTAGAAATAAAAATTCTACCCTCGTAGGCAAGTTGCAAGGGAAAGCTACCATATCGTTACTAGAGAGAGTTGTCACAAATGAAGCCTAGCTAAGACTTCATTTGGGAAAGCTTTCTTAATGCTTTCCTTTTAAAGATATAATCATGATTTCAGTTTGGTTACTATTTTTTCATTGATTTTTTGAATTTTTTGTGATGATAAGTTGCTTTTACAGTAGCTTTTAAAAAAATTATTTTTTTCAATTAACTTTATAGTTCTATTTATAAAAAGTTACGGTCATCCTAAATAGATTCTGAGGCTTCATTTCAAACAATTTTCAAAGGAAGACAAAGGCTTCGTTTGGGACGACTTTTTTATTGCTTTCAAACCGTCTCAAAAGAAGCCTAAGCCTTTGTTTGGGACGGCTTTCTTCCTGCTTCATATAGCAATTTTTTAGTACAACATTTTCAATTTTTATTCTAAAAAGATACTTTATGAAGTAGGAAGAAAGCCGTCCCAAACGAAGCCTAAGATTTCGTGTTTTGTTTGAGACAACTTTTTTGTTGTTTTCTAAAACAACTTTCTAGTACAAAAACTTCTTGAATTAGAAAATTTTATACTTAAAAATCGCTTAAAAAAGCAATAGGAAAGCTATCAAAACGGAGCCTAAAACTCCATACAACCTTATACATGATTACATTCACGTACTGTATTAACGACTAATGGGCTGTTTGGTTACCTGAATTAGGAGTGTAAAGTAAAACAATTACCTGTATTTACTAAATTTGGTTGTTTGGTTAATTTTGAGCGGAACAAAAGGTAATCATTGGATGCATTAGGCCTGTATTAGAGAGGCTGTTTTGCATGAATTAGAAACCCGCTCGTATTGAGCGGGTTATAAATTCATCAGAAGAAAAGCTTCATCGTCGTCGTGCTGTTCGGCTTCATTGCATGAGAGGCTCCTTTGGCTCCTTCGTTCTTGTTTGACTTCGCTCCGGCAAGCAGCTCCGGAGAGACTTCGCTTCGGCGAGCAGCTCCACTCTGTCGCCCTCAAGTCCGGCCTTCTCCGCTCCAACCTCTTTGCCGAGTTCATCCTGCGTAGCTATATAAGAGGTGTGTCTCCGCGTAACTTGGCTCCATCGTGACGCCGCCACGAGAGCGAAAGAATGCAGGAGCGCTGCTTTGTGCCTCTTCGGGCACGAGAACTACTGCATTTCCGTATCATTCCCTTTACACGCTACCATGAGAGTAATCTCCTCCGCTACTTTGCTTCTAAGCCGATCGTTCTCTGATGGAACCCTAGGCCGCCGATCTTGGACACTTCAGTCAACTCTAGGTCGTTGCTACTGTGATCGATCTCATTCCTCCGGAGAAAGGCGAAATCCAGGTGAATCATGAATGTATCAAATGAAATGTCATTTCAATGATCTTTTTCTGCAATTTGTTGGCCGATTTACCTTTTATGTACATCATGATTAATAAGTTGAATATAAGCAACAAACAAATAAAAAAAATAAAATAAAAGTTTGAATGAACTAATAAGCAAATTCTAACAATGAATCAACATGAAGAATGTGCTGCAGTTTAGTGCTCCGAAATTTATTTGGAGTTGAGCTGAAGATCTCAGGTCTTTTTTTTATATTGTTGATGAGTTATTAAAGAAATGAACTATATTTGCATTTGGTTGTTTTTCCGAAAAGCTTTTCTAATTACTATTATGAGCACTAGTTTTTAGTAAAAAATAATTTATAACCTTTAAGCTGAATATTGTAATATAATTTTATATGTATCTATATCAACTTATTGTGTTTTCTTTTGGTTGGCATGTGAAAATATCCATGCCATGCAGCTCACTTTGCTCCGTTTTGAGAGTTTTGGAAGGCTTCGTTTGGAACATCTTTCATATTATTTTTTACAACGGCTTATTAGTTAATTTTTGTACTAAAAAATTATTTTAGAAAGCAAGAAGAAAGCTATCCCAAACAAAGTTTAAACAATCGGTGATTACTTTTATAAATACACTAGTTATAATGACAAAAAAAATATTACAAATGCACTGTTTTTACTTTACTCTGGATATATCTAATCAAACAAGAGAAACATTTCTCCTGCGTTTACTTTGCTTTGCAGACAACCAAACAGCTTCTAATACAAAATAAGCCCTCGTAACATATTGACCCATATATGGCTTAACGACTATTTTAAGTATTTAACAACCCTCGAAAAAAAAGTTTGCGGTAAGTAAGAGACGCGTAAGAATCCTGGCGCCCCTGGCTAGTTCATTTTGACCATTGACCGAGTAAGTTCGACTTTATCCCAAAATTTTCACAGGAAATTTCACCGCACATTCCACATCAATTTTCTCACATTTTTCATTCCCCTCCCTTCTGAAAACTACTAAATAAAATAAATGACAAAAAAAAAACTATGGCCGGCTCTATATAATAGACGAGGCAAAGACTAAGCTTCATCGTCTCTCTCAGAAGATCTGAGACAAAATGAGCTCCAGTTTCAGCCACCATGGCCTCCAGGCTTCTCAATACACCATTCTCTTCTTTCTGTCTATTTGTCTGGCCTTCTTCAACGTTGAAGCCAAGGTTCATCATCTCAAATGGGAGATCAAATATGAGTTCAAATCTCCTGATTGCTTCAAGAAACTCGCCATTACCATCAATGGCCTCACTCCCGGCCCGACCGTCACCGCAACGCAGGGCGATACCCTCGTCATCGACGTCACCAACTCCCTCCTCACAGAAAACGTCGCCATTCATTGGCACGGGATCCGTCAGGTGAGCCAATTTAGGCTTCGCTTGGAACGACTTTCTCATTGCTTCTTAAAACTGCTTCAAGAAGCAGTGAGAAAACCGGTCCAAACGAAGCATAAGCCTCTATTTGAGACAACTTTCTTACTGCTTTGTTTTTAAGAAACATAGCTTTTCACATCATAGTTTTACAACCAACTTTATAAAAAGCTGTGATCATCCGGCAGATTGGAACACCTTGGAGCGATGGGACAGAAGGCGTGACGCAGTGCCCGGTTCAGCCTGGGGATACCTTCACTTACAGATTTGTAGTTGATAGGGTAAGCAAGCAAGCTAGCAAGCTTAATTAACCCTCATTAATTCAATGAATCATAGTTGTCTATCCTTAATCTATAATTAAAAACTTAATTATGTTAACTTAATCATCAGGCTGGAACTTACATGTACCATGCTCACTATGGGATGCAAAGATCGGCCGGCTTGAATGGCTTAATAAGAGTTTTAGTTCCTGAAGGAACCGTTGAGCCATTTGAATATGATGATGAAAGACATCTTCTTCTTAATGATTGGTGGCATAAGAGCACATATGAGCAAGCAGCTGGGCTTTCATCGCCCACCTTTGAATGGGTTGGAGAGCCACAGGTAATTAATCTATTAATTATCTATTTTAGTACTTTTTAAACAAAAGTTTAGGCTTCGTTTTGGACAACTTTCTTATTTCTTCTTGAAGCAGCTTTTTAGTATAAACATTTTAATTTTTGTACTAAAAAACCGCTTTAAGAAACATTAAAAAAGCTGTTGCAAACGAAGCCTTAGTATTAGAGAGATTATTACGTGCGGCGTCTGGAGACAAATCCGGATGTGCTAAGTCACCCAGATGCATTGGGCCCCGGATGATGTGGTTCCGGATGCCGCACGTAATAATTTTCCTTAGTATTAAGAGGCTTAATTAAGATGTTTTTTTAATCTAATTTTGCAGTCTTTATTGATAAATGGGAGGGGGAAATACAACTGCTCCTTAGCAGCAGGAGCTATGGATTCTTGTAATAAGGAGAATTCTGAATGTTTGCCAGAGAGCTTGACAGTGGTTCAGGGGAAGACTTATCGCTTCAGGATTGCAAGTGTGGCTTCACTTTCTGCATTTAATTTGGAAATTGAGGTAAAAAAAAATTTAATGAATATTTTGAAATTATGATTATTATTTTTTTCATTTATTTTAAATTTAGATTTTGTCAAAATGATTTTGAATAGAAAGAGAATAAATTATATAATAATTTTGGTCTATTTTGGTGCCAAGCACGACATGGTAAAACATGTAGACCGGTTCGCAAGAGATTGGGTGAAGGCCAAATGAAAGGTTAAAATTGGAAATGTGTATATATTTTTTCTTAAAGTACATATGGATTGGACCAAATAATGGGACCAGTTTTGTTTAGTTCATTATGCCTATTAACATCTAAAAGGACATAATTTCATTTTTGCTCACATTATGACAAAGTATTCCATTTAGCCCCTTCTTAAATTTTAGTTTTAAAAAAATATATATGATTTTGAAATCATAAATGAAATAAAGTAAATAAAAAAGGGGTCTCTAACTTCAAAATTATAGTAAGTGAGATTATAGTAGTCTAATGAGAAAGTTTTATTTTTCAGGGGCATATTATGACGATTGTTGAAGCTGACGGCCATTACGTAGAGCCTGTTGTTGTGAAGAATTTGAACATCTATTCGGGCGAAACTTATTCGGTTATAGTGAAGGCTGATCAAGACAACTCGAGTAATTATTGGGTGGCGCTCAATGTTGTTAGTAGGAAGCCAAACACGGCGACTGGCACGGCCATTCTGAACTACTATCCTAACCATCCATTGAAGTCACCCCCAACTGTGGCACCAGTTGGCGCGCTTTGGAACGACACGGCGTATAGAGTTAATCAGAGCAAATCAATTGTGTCGCATCATAGCTATATTGAAGCTCCACCGCGTACCACTGATCGCACGATCATTCTCCTTAATACCCAAAATAAGATCAATGGGCATATGAAATGGGCTATCAATAATGTATCTTTCACGCTACCCACCACCCCTTATTTGATAGCTATGAAGAATAAGTTGCACCATGTCTTTAGCCAGAAGCCAGCCCCAGAGACTTATGACTATGAGAACTATGACATCCATACTGTGTTGAGCAACCCAAATACAAGTTCAAGCAATTCGATCTACAAGTTAGGGTTTAGTTCGACGGTGGATATCATACTGCAGAATGCAAACACGTTGAGCCCTAACAATAGTGAGACTCACCCGTGGCACCTCCACGGGCATGACTTTTGGGTGTTAGGGTTCGGGAAGAATAAATTTGACCCGAAAGTCGACCCAAAGAACTACAACTTGGTCAACCCGATCCAAAGGAATACAGTGCCATTGCACCCTTATGGGTGGACTGCACTAAGGTTTAGTGCAAATAACCCTGGGGTGTGGGCTTTTCACTGTCATATTGAAGCTCATTTCTTCATGGGAATGGGAGTTGTTTTTGAAGCAGGAGTGGAGAAGGTAGGCAAGCTGCCCAAGTCTATTAGGGGATGTGGAGAATCCAAGTAAATGATCACCGAGGAGACCTTGAGCAGAGATTATTGTGTCCAGACACGGAGACACCGGACGTGTCCAGAGACCAATAAAAAAAGCGCCACATCGCTAGGCGTTCATTATCGTGCTCGGTACCGTGTTCGGTGCACTCGGTACATCTCGGTATGATGTCCGGTCATAATAATTTTTCGACCTTGAGAGGGTCATTAAGATTAGGTAATTCAATATTTTGTACGATTTTAATTTTTATTATTTTTTCCATATCAATAAATTATTATTTTTTTAGTTTGTAGAACTACAGAAGCAGAAATGCATTCAAATAAATTATTTGCAGAATATTATTAACGTAAAAGTATAATTTTTTTCATTTGAAAAAAAAAAAAATTAATACGGGTTCTCTTGTCTCTCATTGACCATTTGTTGAATTTTTTAGATTAATAAAGTATTCTAATCTAATGTAAATATGTAATAGCACTGAACAAATTTCAAACCATTTCTACTTGGAAATTATGAGAAAGAAGATATGAGATTTAGCTCTTGAAGCAGCTTTTTAGTATAAAAATTAAATTTTTTTGTACTAAAAAGCTGCTTCAAGAAGCCGTAAAAAAGCAGTCCCAAACAAACCCTTAGAGTTTGTTTGTAGCGACTTTCTTACTATTTTCTAAAGTAATTTTTTAGTATAAAAATTTGAAAAAAAGAATTCAAAAAAAATTTGTACTAAAAGCTATTTTAGAAAGCACTAAAAAATACTACCACCCATTATGAAGAAATTATTACGTGCGGTCACTGGAACATCCTGAGGCGAATTAGGACGCGTCACGTCGATCACCCGATACACAACGGGACATAGCACCGGTACACACCAAAATAGTGACGTGGTGCGCCATAATTTGCCTCCGAACAACGCCCGTTAACCGCATATAATAATTTCTCCCCGTTAGAACATCTTTCTCTTGCTCCTGATTCCTTTCTTTTTCATTGAAGACATCAAAGATAAGCCCTCTCTATTTTCCGCAGATTGCCATATGTTACTATGCAATTTGTATATATCTTTTGATTTACTGTTATTTTCAGCAAAGCAATTGAAGGAATTAGTGAAGGCAACCCCTTTATATTGTACATACAAATGCTAAGACAATTTTAGGATCAGTTCATCAGCAATTCGGTTTCTGTCAATCACTTCTACCATAAAAAAACAAAGAAAATATCATTATTTTCTCTTATTGCATGATACAATGAGTTATATATAATTGCTTTTTTATAATAATTTCATGCTCTTTCAAACATAGAAACCCCCAAATTATTGAATGTATTATTGACATGAATACAAAGAACCTCCAATAAATGATGTGGAGGTGCCTACAAATAGCTAGCAAATTGCTATATAATCTTGTAATATGTTCAATGTTGCACCACCGACATCTTATAGTCGACGTGTATTAAATATTCTGGATTGTATGTTGAAATACGGATGTTATGTGTTAGGTTAGACAAGCATGTTTCTGACTGGTGCTTCAATCTATTTATTGATTAATGAAAGAAATTGTTCTTCAAAATTTAGGCTTTGTTTGGAAAGACTTTTTTAGTGCTTCTTAAAGCAGCATTTTAATATAAAAATTCAATATTTTATACTAAAAAGTTGCTTTATGAAGCAGTAACAAAGCCGTCACAAACAAAGCCTTAATTTCCATTGATTTGTAATCAAACAAAAAAAAATTACAAGGAAGATGAATAATTAGGATATTATAGATTTTGTGATTTAGATCAATATAAATTTTGAATAGGTATAGGATCTCAAAAAAGGGTGCAATATTAAAAAATAAAAATAGAGTATGTTATATAGTATTGACTTACATATGAATACAATAAATATTTTAATTCAATCCATTGTAATAATTTAATAATCTTAGATTGAGCATATCTCATCATTATTTTAAGAAAATACCAATGGAAAAATAAAATTTAAATTATCTTGCCCATCATTAAAAAGACCATTGTTCTTAATTTCATATTCTTCAAGTAAAGGTACCATTTCAGGTAAATGAGTTAGGCTTGTGTCCAATCCTAATTTATATCAATTTGACTTGAAACGTACTTGTTTATAATATTGGTTAAAACATTTAGGCTTCGTTTGGGACGGCATTCTTACCGCTTCTTAAAGCAGCTTTCTAGTACTGTTGCGTGCTAGAATATACGCGGCAGTAGAGTTAGGAAATATTCATCTTAGCTTTGCACGAGTATTCCGCACACAAACAGAAAAGAGAAAATGAACACCAAGGTTTTTGACAAATTTAACCTATATTTCTATTTCATATGGTTCATGCATTTTTTTAAATTAATATGACCCAATCAACTTGAATACGACCTGTTTAATCCAAATTTGAATAATAATCAGATCAAATTTGAATATCCAAAATTTGAGGGCCAAATTTGAAGTAAAATTTAATTAGAACATCACGAATCCAAATTGTTGAGTCGGGTCCTTCTCAAATAGTCCAAACAAGCTACTTATTATCACTTACTTCTTTTAAGTATTCGAAATCTATTTTTGTAAATAGTTCTTAGAAATAACACATCAAAAGATCTAAAAGTAATGGTGGGCCGGCCCAACAAACCTCCACCTCAATGCACCACATGAAAATGTGTAAAACGTGTAAAACGTGCATTTTGAGCAATATTTAAAATATAGCCCGCCTTAGGGCATCTCCAACCGAACTCCAACCGAACTCCATACGCTTGAATGACGTTCCTGGTCAGCTCCAACCGAAGCTCAAAGTTTCCGCTATTTGGCTGCGGGTGAATAGTGAGACGCCAATATTGATGTTGCACTGTTCATCTCCGCTATTTTTACCTCTCTACTGAACTCGTTGCGGGAAAGAATAGGCGACCGTTACTTGCAAAAGGGGAAAAAATGGAGTTCGATTGGAGATGAATCACGGAATTTTGCAGTTTCACGACATTTTGGAGTGAAAAATGCGATTTTCCGTTGGAGATGCTCTGATTATGTAGGTTGAGAGCTTAAGTTGTCATCTATAAGATTTTGAATTTAAAATTCACATATATTACATGTATATAAATTTGCATTTATTTTTCTCAAAAGTAAAAAAAAAATGAAATATTTCAGTTAACAAAAATACCATAAACTAATCTTCTAATTTTTTTTAATAAATACCGACAAAAATATTGATAATATATGTAGATAATTACATACCGCAATTTTGTATTTATTTATAAATCTAACATATAAATTTTTTTATTTATTTATATATCATTTTGATATTTAAATCATATTAAAATATATATACATAAAGTTATACATTTTATTTAAAATAAATTAATATTAATGGCACCTTCAATTTAATTTAAAGTTATAAATATTATACAAATAAATATATAAATTTTTTGTGGCATAAATGTAAATATATCCCACAAGATCAAATGACTGCACTTCCACGTTTATTGAATACAGTAAAGAAAATTCTGCTAGCTTGCTTGCTTCCAGTAAATAGTTGTGCTCTTCTTTGTCGCCAGCTAGAAGAGAACTTGTTCGCTACAGGAAACAAGTTCTTGTTCGCTACAGGAATGCTAGCTAGAATTTATATACTACAATGCATGAAATCAGTTGCGTATAAGCGCTTAATTGTCAGGTTTCAGAATTATTAAGTGGTGGAGGAGGTTGCAGGTTTCCCATCAGCAACTGAACATTACTGCTGATTAATTTCCAGTTTTGTATGGATAAAGCATTTGATATTTACTGCTAGTTGATGGTGAGTTTTGCTGAGAGAAGAACTATTGAGATCATATATGATATGTAATTAGAAAATTCAATTCATTAGATGGAAGTTTAATGTTATTTTTAGATCTTTAAATGTTTTGTTATAGGAAATTCAATAAATTCCGACGGAACTTCTAGCGTTCATTTGACCACCGGAATGAACGGTGGTTAACTAACGGTCTAACCGCCGGTAATTCGTAAAACAATTACCGCTGGAAGTTTCGTCGGTATTCTTTTTTCACAACGTATTTACGGTCGGTTTAGCCGTCGTTTTTAAGTAAGAAATTTTAGGTGGTTTAAATCATAAGAAACACCGCCGGAAAGTGCCCTAAAACTGCGCCGCCACCCCCCATCCTCATTTCGCCTGGCTACTCATTTGGTTCGTCTAGTGAACGCTTGCGCTCGTCGAAATCCGCACTACCTCGGCCGCCTGCTCGTTTGGTTCGTCCATAGAAGCCGCGACGACGTGACCTTCCGCACTCGCCAAATTCCGCCCTAGCCTTGTCGACCGACCTTGACCTAACTGATTTCCTGTGATGCCCAGAAATTTAAATTGGAATAATTATTCTTATCTTTTAGTAAACAACAATCATACCTATCTAATAAATAAAAAAAAAAAAAAAAAAAAAAAATCATACAAATAAAGTAATACAATAACAACATTATGGGAAGACGATTTATGATTTGAAGTTATAATGAATCAAGAAAAAATTTGACAAAGTCAAAATACAGTCTTTTACAATCTATCCACCTTAAGGAAAATGTCGTCCCCGGCATTTCCCTAAAAGATTAAGGTACAAAATCAAATTATAGCAAATATGTACGATTAAAACTCAAATCAAATCAAAAATCATACAATCTTGTAGTTTATTCTATCACACGTCATTCATTTATATATGCAAACTAATACACCTTAAACTATCCAATTTATCCAACTCTCAATCAATTTCCTATAACTCTGATAAGAATTCAATTAATTCTTCCAACAAATGCTCTGATAACAATTATGATGCCCGTGAATCTAAATTAGAAGAATTATAAGAGTTTTGAGACATCATGAAAGGGTTATAAGGGTGCAGAAGATCACCACATTAGTTTTAAGATGAAGACCATCCACCTAATCCTCAAAGCACTTATAATTTTATTACTTCATAATATAATACTCTTACTTGATCATTTCTTATATGAGGAAAATTTAACTGAAGTGAAGGAGTGGTGGCTCAATAAAATATTGGATATATGAGTATTTGAACCAATTGCATTATGGAGGTGAAAGAACTTGT